TGATCCCTATTTTACCTCATTATACGATAAATTTCGAAAAATGCTAAAAAACGTATTTATTTAATTGTATTGAAGAGCATTAATACCAAGTTTCAAGTAATTCTAATCATTTTTTTTATTGTATTATAACGTTTTTATATGGATGACATGACTTATAAAATTTATTATTTATTTAATCGTATCGACAGACGTAGAGACACATACATATGTATAAAATATTAAATGTTTGAAAACTTAAAGGCTAAATTGCACCTTTTAAAAGATAATTAGGAATATTGCAAATCTAAATATACCGGTCAACCAAAACATTGTAAAATAAACATTGAGAAAGAAAAATTGTACAAATTATAGACCTCTTTATAATTTCCTCAAAAAATAATATAAAACATCGGAAAAGAATAAGTATTAAGCCAAATTGAACTAAATATGTATTCGAAAGTTAGTTTATATTTTGCCAAACTTTTCTTTACTTTCTTTTTTTCTTGAAAAATTTAGCTTTTTTAGTATAAATAGAGTACTGTCTACGGCGTAGGCGCGCTAAGAAAACGCTACGAAATTTAGTTATGCATGACTTACAATGTATAAATCTTTTTTTATATGTTTGCTTTATGAAAATATAACACAGACACACTTTTATATTATTTTATATTATATTATATACAATAACTCCTTTAAAAAAATCATGTAAGTCCACTACATAAAACTAACGCTGTCAAACATAATAGGTACAACCTAAAGCACTAACACTAGAAGCTCATGCATGTTGTTTATATTGTAATTAAACATTTTATTACAGAATATTTGTTTTATTTTACTGCTTAAATCAATAAAACAGGAAGTAATATTGTATATAGAATCTCAGTTTTTAGGGTTCCCTACCCGAAGGGTGTCAACGGAACCCTATTACTAAGCCTCCGCTGCCTGTCCGTCCATCTGTCAGAGGGCTGTATTTCATGAACTGTAATAGATAGTTGAAATTTCCGCTATGTACGTAATTTTATTGCCGCTATAACTTATTCTTATATTCTTATAACTTATTCCAGCAACCTAAGTAGCCCTAGTTGGTATTAAGAATTATATACGAATTTCTTAATAACTTAGTCACTGAAGATACAATCATAACATTTTTCCTTATATAATAAAAAATACTTAAAATAGAAACATAAAGAAAAACCGTATGTTTAGTTAAAGTCTATATTTGATAATGAATAAATCAAGGTGTAGATGAATTGCTGTTAAAGTACCATTATTAATTATCAACATCGCCATGAAATATCACGAAAGTGTCGTGAATTGCACGTCATATTTTAGCAGTCACGTGACAGTGATATACATGTCAAGTATCCTATATGTTTGAATTGAAAATTTGTATTATAATCCCATAAAATACTTGCTACGCTATTTCAGATTTTACAGAAAAAAATTGTTTGATGTTTCTATTTTCGCAATTGCTAAGATACCTACTGTATTTTATTGCATACTATAAGGCTGGATTTGGCTAAATATTAAGTAACAAATATTATAATAAAAATGAAATATACACTAACCCATTTCGCAATAAAGTTTATAATTTGATTTGATTAATTTCTATATATTTCGAATCATCAGCAAGAATCGAATCCGTGAGAGTTAGACCAAAAGGTTGTATTTATTATATCATATATTATTATCTCTACGAATTAATCAATAAAATTGAATTGAATACAACATGATTACCACTTGTCTTACGGTGAAGAAAACATTGTCAGGAAACCTGCATGTCTGCAAGAACTATTACCTGATCCCAATCGTATTGAAGGGAGGCCCGTGTCCAGCAATTGAATGTCAAAAAGGACTTAATAAACCGTTGCAGCAATAAAGGATTATTTAAATAGATTTGATTTAAAATAGAAATAAAAATCATGTATAAAATTGTTCGCCTTACTAATGTCATTCTTTTTTAACTTTTTACAAATATCTATAAAAACGTAATTTATAAAAAGGTCTTAATCAAAAATAGAAAAGTATAAAAAGGATGTGTGTGTGTATGTGTGTCTACAAACCAATAAACTCATAATAATAATATTGTGTAATAAATTACGTACAAACAAATCAACTTACACATTCTCAAAGCGTCTAATTGTATTAACTATAATTAATTTTGACTAACGTTGTTATCGTGTAATTAAAGAAAAAACAATGTAGATTGGCGTGTCACGACACTATCGCACTATCGCGTCACCTTGTCTCTATTACTTGACAGTGATTAATACACCGTCTAGATATCTTGTCATGCGATGGAACGTGAAAATATGCTTCGTGTAGTTAAACTGCTTTGCTCTACACTGATTTTTGATTTGCCTTTCAACACGGTAGAGTTACATCGTCAGCTTATCTTATTAGCTTTTAGATGTTTGGATATTCATTTCTGGAGATAATATCTTTTGCTGTAATGATATTTTATGTTAATTAAGATGGTTGTTGCATAATGTAATTCTTAATATTTTACAGAGTTAAAGGGGAGGGGGGGAGAGGGGGAGGGGGGTTTGGATATCCCCCAACGTGTTCACCTTATCGTGGTGGGGGGCTCAGTAGTGCTCGGCAATACAGCCGAAGCCAAGAACACAGCACGCACGCACAGGGCCACTTCGGTGGGCGGTGTACCATGTGGGTTGCACCTGGTACTTTTCTGATAGCAGAGTGGACTGTGGAGCAACCCCATAGTTGTTGTGGTCTACTTTGGCAGACCTGCTGTCGGGGCGTCGTGGCTGAATACGTTAACGATCCTGCGACGCCCCATTACGGCGGGAGAGTTTTATTGGGTTTTAATCGGTGAGTCCCACATAACCACCTGTATATCTCATATAAGTAACGTAAGTTGATGAATGACTTATTAAAGATAGAGTAATTACATTATCAAGTTATATGAGTCAAGATAAAGTTACTTTTACACCCAAAAACTATCTTTATATAAAAAGTGTCTGTTGAAGTGTTTTCTTAACCTGTTGCTATTGAAAAAGAAACTAAATAATAAACCTATTTTTAGTCAGGGCATAATTGTATATAGAAATACTAGAGTTTAAAACATGGACGTAGAAAATGGGTTGAGCAATAATCTCATGAAATTGACCATTCATTACATAGAATACCTATCTTTTATTCCACTTTGAATTTATAAATGGAATGTAAAATGATTATAAATATCTATCTTCATTAATAATATTTCAATTAATAGAGAAGAAATTTCGTTTTTTATCTGTCACAGCCTTCCACCATTTTTAGCTGACGCTCTATGTCTATGGTTCAGACGATAACAGGTCTATTATATCTGCATTCACTCTACAAAAGTCAAAGCGCACATTTAAAATTAGATTCGGTATGTCGCATGCCTTGCCAATTGCGAGTGCATATAAATTATAATACTCGTAACATCTTTGAAGCGTATTGTAATATTCTGTACATAATAATATAAAGTTAAATTTTAAATAACGTAATAATAAAGCAGTAGTGTATACGGAATTTTGAGATATACAAATTAAATGGATATTAGAATAGAAAAAAAGTCATCCTTCAACAATGATGATTTTGTTTTTGCTATTTTTTTTGTATGAGAAATTGATCTTACTTCTGTCTCGTGTATTTGTTTGTTACGCTTTTACATTAAAAATGGCTGAGCAGATTTTGATATGGCTATCGTTAGACATATAGGAATGCTGTACGAAGTGACGGTATCCGGGTCAAAATATATAGGATACTTTTTACTACGGAAAAATATCTCATCTCTGAGAAAACTATACTAAAATTTAAAACGTAATTAAGGACAAACACGAGCGGAGCGAGGTTGGGTCGCTAGTACTACATACGTATAACATGTAATTTTTGAGACTTGTCAAATCCTTTGAAAGTTGTTTCGTGAGAAGCCTGTCCTTTTTGACGTAATTACACTGCATTTTGGTAAAATTACACACTCGCTGTGACATTAATGAGCTATTAGTATTAATATGTACAGTAAATATAACTAAAAGAGTATAAAATACTATATTTTAGTAATTTCTTGGTTGTATAAGTTTAACAAAACAATAATTTATTTCATAGAGTCTATAGCCGTAAAAAAAATAATCACTGAATTATTTTGCACCAAATATTATAAGACAGTTTTAAAATATTTATTTCTCTATCAAAATTATATATATATTTTCATAAGTTGAAAGTTTTGTTTACGATTTTGATTTGTCATTACACGTCTGACATATTTAAATTACACACCTGTTAACCAAATCGTAGCGTCGTGTCGCGCGAGAGTGTAGTCATCTATTTCATATAAGTGGAGCGTGAACTAGAACTCAGTCTGAGAGGCACTAATTCTAGTAATTGCTGACGCTTTGAGGCAAATCGCGGAGAAATTAAACATCCCTCGAGACGACAATATACATACAGTGATATAACACAATATATACTTTATACGACGTTTTTTCAATCTTCAGATATAATTAACCAAATAGTCCTTTTATCCAACAAGGCAGCTTCGCATATTTTATAGATCTATTTATTTTCAGATTAATAAAAATAAAACATAATTCTAGGGTAGTCGTACCTGCCATATTTACGTCTACCTCCGTAATGCGCTCTGTTAATGTCTCATTCTTTTTATTTGCGAGGCAACGTTCGCACGCGCTTAGCTATAAACAGTAATAAGTATTTAAGAAAACTACTAAAGTACATATTCATAATGCAGAAGAGAACGAAGGGGGAAAAACTTAAATATTACAAAGAAAAATTAGAAAGCTAAACGAAATAAATAATCGAAGAAGTCGTCGAAGATACAATCTGAATCATCAGATGAAAATTCGGGTAAGTGACAATAAGGTTACTGTTACGCAATATAAGTGTGACAATATATGTGTGTGTGTGATAAAAATGCAACCTTACAATACCCATACATAATATTATGTATATTTTTTCCTGAGTTTAGCCGAGAGTTAAGCAAAGGAATACGTTCTTGAATATTGGCCGAGAGTCAAATGTCAAGACGTAACAAATATGTTAAAACGTGTTTTACTTGTATTGCAGATGTCGAAACGCAATCGCAATATAACCAAAATGAGGGCAGTTTACCACGCGCTGTATCACCAGAGGACGAGGTAACGGAACGTGATATTGGGATGGAAGCTGTAGATACTCCCCAGATTGAAAGGGGGGCTCCAGAGGTTGCATCGCATTCTGAACTAACGCTCGAATACTTGCAAGATCTCGGCGAAGCCGTCGATGAGGTGCCGCAATATGGAGAGGAAATTTATAGTAACTTAGCGCAAAGGTGACTGTCATTATTATTAATCTGGAAATAGATAGATACTCTAAAATATGCGAAGTTGCCTTTTTGGATACAACTACTATCTGGTTAGCTATATCTTCGAATGAAAAAATTAATATAATAATGATCGAACTTCACTTGGTAAGTTCGTTTGATCGTCTATTATACATGATTTAGAAAAAAAAGATTTAAGTTTTATAAATGAACGACTGTTTTCGATGGTAAAAACTACAAAATATTAATTCTATTCAATTGTCTTGTTAATGGCTTCAAAGCGTGCCAGTTGAGTACACATAACATCGCCAATGTCACGTAGAATGGAGAAGACACGAAGGAGTTTGGTCTTTATAATCGTTAATATCATTAAAAAAAAATTGAAAAACTAATTTGACATTTTATAAACACTTCTTTTAAATTGTTTTATTTTTTGTTATTATATAAATCTAATAATCATCCAAGCAAATTATCTGATCCAGCGTCAGGTGACAGAATAATAATATTTTCACAGATCAAATCCACGAATTACATAGAAGTCCTCTTCTGCATAGTATAATAAAATGGACGCCCACCAGTTCTTCATTTTGTATGACTATGCTTAGTCACAAACTATCTCTAGAACCTTTATAAGCCCTCCTCAATAAAGGGCTATATAATGCAAAAATAATTTTTGAAATTGGATCAGTAGTTACTGAGATTAGCGCGTTCAAACAAACAAACTAACAAGCAAACAAACAAACTCTGTCTCTTTATATTATAAGTATAGATTCCAGCACAAAAATCGTCTTATTTTAAATATTTTTTACCAAAATACTTAAAACTTAATCTTAATAGTATTATAAATGCATGTGTGCTTATAACATCTCGCAGGAACTGCTCGTTAAAGCCGATTGAAGTTCAGAATCGAGTTACTTATATTATAATGGATTAATCTATATGTATCGCATCTGTCAAACAAGTGAAGCTGCAGGCAAAAACTAGTTACCATAAATATATAAAATCAATATATGAAATCAATTTACCAAGATCCATCTCTCAAATATCAATGCAATAGTAAATTTTTTGACTACTGTATCTACGTAATCGCTTCATATATCTCTTTATTGACTCCTATTTTTCAAAGTGAAAAAATATTTAGGCATCAATCGTCCACTCTTCGTTGAAAGCTTCTAACATCGAATTGGATTCGTTACTAACCGATTTATCAAAATATTCAGTTTTTAGGATTTAAAAGTATTCTGTTGGAACATTAAGTTTCATTTTTAATGTGGAATTAAATCATAATTATCGTTCTCCATCATATTATGTATTTGTGTGTGTGAATTAGTTTAGACTATAGTCCACCACACTGGTCAAGTGCGGGTTGGGGACTTCACATGTCTTTCTAAAACTTGCTAGGTTCTCCCAGACATGCAGGTTTCCTCGCGATGTTGTCATTCACCGTAACGTATCAGGCCAATGTCAACGGTTTTAAAGTTACTATAACTTAAGTCACATTTTACATAATAAAAAAGATTATACGAATTAAATTTACTTGTGTATATATAAAAGCTATTAAACAAAAACAAAATGAAATCAGTTGAAAAACAAAGAACAATATGGTACTGAACTGTTATTATATTTACCTTTTTATGTATTCTAACATTTAAGATAGATTTCTCATATATAACATGTTTTCCTGTAGTAAGAAGTATCATATATCTTGACCCGGATAACCAGCTATCATCATACCAAATTTCATTAAAATCTGTCCAATGGTATTCTCGTGATGTGTTCCCAGACAGACACTAAGACAAAAATTCTAAAACCTATAGATTTTCTTCTGTATCGATAATAATGACAACTTTAATAAGATTTTCCAAACAATATTTAATGTACAGATTCGACTCAGTTACGATTTTATTATATCTACATATACAGAAGATATAGATGGTACTCATATGAGTACAATTTACTCTAATATACCAAACTTATAGCTGCCTTCGTATAATATGACATTCTTGGTTTACAGCAAATAAGAATATATTTCCAAGCTTCATGTTAACCAAAAGCGAATAAGTGAAAACAGAACGAATGTTAAACAGTGGCAAAATTAATGTGTGACATTCGTGTCGTTGTCTGTGTCAGGGCCGGTGCGGTTTTGTGGGAAGCGAATTTCTCTACTTTGGAACATGCATTACATTTAATTTTTGCCTTCTCTATTCGTTTCGTATATCTTTAAATAAGTTGAAAATATTGCTACTTTACTTAAAATTTTATATTAATACTAAGGATTTTTATATTTTTTGTAATTTATACCTCCTATAGTAACTCCCACGGTTTGAGACGTGATATATGATGGAAAAGGTGGTAACCAATATTAAGGTACTTTGGAAAAGGATACTCTTATTTTTACTTTTAATCCTTAAAACTAATTAAAAGCATATGTTTTGGCTCAAATGAAACAGAACAACATGTGCATATTTTCCTTCTCTTTAATGTAATTATAAATTTAGCATAAAGTAATAAAATCAGATAAAATTAATTGACTTCAAAATGATTTCAAAAATTAAAAAATTGGCACCAGAGTACCTTACAATATTTGTTGATTTTAATTCTAAACAGTTTTTAATTGTAATTATACTTAAAAACAGCAATATTATTAATTTAATTTTATCTGTTATTATTATAAATATTGTATTTTTTTTAAAACTTACCTACTATATAATTTATGGATACAAAATTGAAAAGCTTAAAAGTCAAAACACGTGCCCTTTTAGGTTATAAATAAGTTATTATTATATTTGCCTTTAATCTTTGACATTTGACCCAAGACCATTATATCGATAGTCTCGAGGCCGATACCTAAAGATTATTTCATCCGAATAGACCTTACGAGTACTTTGTACTATATGAAAAAGGATTTTTTATAAATCGTGACAAAGAGAATTTGTCTTTAGTTTATTCCCTAAAAGATTATCTTGGCTTGTTAAAGAGAAAGTTTTGGAGTACTTGTAGTAGTATAAATGATTACTATAAAGGTACATTCATTGACAAATGTATTCAGCCCTTTTTAACGTCCCACAGCTGGGCACTGGCCTCCCTTCAATGCGAGGGGGGCTCAGGTCATAGTCCACCATGCAGGCCATGTGCGGGTTGGTGAATTTAACATTGATAAATATTGTTACTATATAATAACTTTGGTAACTAATATCTTTGGTTATTATATTTTACCGACCCATCTCCTATGTGTTTTCTGGACCTTCTGTACCAATCTTTTTTCTGTAATCTGCGCTCAATTAGCATGCATTGAAGCCATTAACAATTTATTTAAGGAACAGAATTGTAAAAATAATTAAATTGAATATCATTGGAGTCAGGAAGTTCACTATGGTTTAGTGTCGATTTTATTATATATCCTTTGATTAATTTATCATTGATCTTAAGTGTAACCTTTTGATTTTGTATGATAAAGTATGTATGTAATTGTGGCAAATTTTTTGGTCTTGATGGCCAAACTTAATGAAACAAATCAACTACACGGAAAATATTATAGTATATATATTGCTTCTATGTAAGAAACCTAGACTCTTACGAGCCTGATACTCAATACTCGTTCTTAAAACCCGATGGGAAAATAATCCGATACAATGGGATAAAAATTATGTGTATGACCGACGGCTTTAGATACTCTACGAAGCGCAAGGGTCTAGTATCGCCATATTCCTAACTTTATGTCTTAAAAATCCAATAATTCCTTTAGCCTGACACAAGAATCGAACTGAGGACTTTACAATAATAGAAATGACTTGTATCTGAACATTTATTTTCAATGCGATTACAAAAGCACACCTTAACGTTATCATATCGTACTAACATGTTGAAAATTTACACGTTTTAGTTAGAGTGCTATCGAGAGCTAGTGTATCACTATTACGATGTTTTATAGTGTTAACGAATATAAAACTTAGTTTGGGCGGTTTGCGGTAGAAATATTTGCATAAAAATAAAAATTGTATTGATATAACTCGTTATTGAATGTTCCGGCTGACACTGAGTTTAGACTACCAACGAAAAATATGATTTTCATACCAAATATTTGTAATTTTATTACTGCTAACATAGTTGTCGTGTGTTTGGTTACGAAACCCGAGATAGTTGGTTGTAAAACCTAATCGAAATTATTTAATTCTGTACACATGTATGTACAATATATACATAAGAAATACGAATTATTTCTAAGGAGCTGCCTCTGCATTTAATAATTTTTTTAACATTTATAGAGTATTTTTTTTATCTTTTTTCGCAAATTTAAAGAAAATTAAGAAAACCACGGGTTTTAGTAATTTCATTTTATATTTCTTTAACTTTTTGATATATTTTTCCCCATGGCACAAGTGCATCCCTTCCCGACGCCATGTGTATTTTTTTGTGTTATCCTTTTATAGTACAAAACTATACTACGTTAACTCAAAATCTATTATAATAATCAAGTGAATGTACATTCAAATCATAATTTTCATGTATTTAGACAATTTTTATACAATTTCTATCGCCTATCCCATAGGAACCTTTACATAGTATAAAAAGCCTATTTCCGTCCTTACAATACAAGATATCTTATGGAAATTTCCGAACAGAAATTGCTGCCAATATTTTTCGATATTATTAATATTAAAAATTTTGAAACACCGTTTATTATTGTTATAAGTTATCATTCTATCAACAATACCTATTTATCAATCAATCAATTCTATCTATTGTTAATCGAAGAAGTTATCTATCTGAAACGTGGAAAGTCAAAACGATTTATTTTGATAGACCTCTTTTAACACTTTGTTTTTATCTCTTTATTTGATGGTTAAAATAATTAGTAAACAATTAACATAGAGTGATAAAAAAATATTTTTCAAGTGTGCTTTTTAGTTTGTCCTTCATTTAGGCAACAATTTTTTATTATCGACGTGATCTTTTGCATATAGATACAAAATGCTATTTAAATCTCTAGGTGTCAAACATTTCCTATAG